CTCAAAACTAATAGTTCTAATTTCTGAGAAGTCATGACAAACTGGTGTTTGCCACTTTGGGGTCTAGGCTTGCCAAGTCACCCCGGGGGCAGGGAAACCCCACCCCAGAGGCCCATTACCCGCCGCCGGCGGATCAGGCCCCGGAGGGAACCCCACCCCCAAAGCACGTGACGTGCCTGGCATCAGCACGTCACCCAGAAGTGACGCAGCCACGCCGGGCGCACCAGGGGCGGGGCCGCGGTCATCCGAGGGAAAACTTTGTGTTTTTCCCTCGGATGACCATGGCCCCGCCCCCAGCACGCCTGACGTGGCCACATCACTTCTGGGTGACGTGGGTGCGGTGCGCGTGCTCCCACTCCCGGAACGGCTAGTTTGACCAGGGATCCTGGAGGGTTTTTGTCATCGTCTGGGCATGGAACAGCAATCACTGCGGGTGTGGAAGGGGAGGTATTGTGAATTTCCTGCATTGTGCATGGGGCTGGACTAGATAACCCTGGAGGCCTCGTCCAACTCTATAATTCTATGGTGTGATTCTAAAAGTACCAAAAAGCAAATATGGGGTCAGACCTACTGGACCATTTCCATGGAGGGCAAAATTCTAACCTCCTTCATCTTGTTGAAGCCCAAATTGCCCCCTGAAATGTCATTACTTTGGGTTCTCTGTTCCCCAGAAAGAGCACTTTGGTGGAATCACATTTTGGGCTGGAGTGAGGAAGTGAGAAAGCTACACTCCATGAGTGGAAATCCATCCATAAAAATGCTCGAGTGTTTCCAAGTCATAGTAACTACATATTTTTTAAAGGAGTGAATTATTACTTAGATGTATTATATTTAATTATATAGATGATTGAAAGATAATGTCATAGATGCAAAAATAATTTTGCATTATATGTAAACAATTACAGTAGACTCATAGAATCATAGAGTTGGAAGGGACCTCCAGGGTCATCTAGTCCAACCCCCTGCACAATGCAGGAAATTCACAAATACCTCCCCCTCCACACCCCCAGTGACCCATGTTCCATGCCCAGAAGATGACAAAACACCTCCAGGATCACTGGCCAAACTGGCCTGGAGAAAAATTGCTCCCTGACTCCAAAGTGGCCATCAGCATTTCTCTGGGTGTGTAAGAAAGGGCCACAAGAACTAAGCACTGAGGCAACCCTTCCTGCCCTTCCTCTCATGATCTGCCTAAGTTCACAGAATCTGCATTGCTGTCAGATGGCCATCTAGCATCTGTCTGAAAACGTCCAAAGGAGAGACAGCACCTCCCGAGGAAGCCTGTTCCACCGAGGAACCG